GGTTTAGGGGTTAAGGCTTTAGGGTTTTAGGGTTTTGGGTTTTGGGGTTTAGGGTTTTGGGGTTTAGGGTTTAGGGGTTTGGGGTTTTGGGGTTTGGGGTTTAGGGTTTAGGGGTTAAGGTTTTAGGGTTTTGGGGTTTAGGGTTTAGGGTTAAAGGATTAGGGCTTTGGATCTGGGTTTCGCGATTCAGGGTTTCGGGGTTAGGTTTTCGGGGTAAAGGATGAGGGCTTTAGGCTTTGGATCTCGGTTTCGGGATTCAGGGTGTCGTCTTTAGGATTCAGGGCCTAAGGTGTGCCCCAAAGCTCCTAAACTCTGACAAGCCTTTCATGCGTCAAACCTTGCAATTGCCACATCTGCACTTAGCCCGAAACCATTGAATCCTCACCGTTACGTATACTACAGTATAATCATAAGGGTAGTGCTCTAAATTAGGGCCCCCTTGTTAGGTCCCCGAAAAGGACTCTTAAAGGGACCCTAACTTAGAGAACTATATACCCATATTATAGATATACCCCCAAAACCCTTTCAACCAAGTATGACGGCCCCAACTTAGGTCATGGGGCGGTCTGCTCGAATGCTCATGAAGTTTGCACGCTTCACGAAGATCGACGACGGCTCGTCTTTTTTGGCTCGGGAGCTCAGGAAGTCGTGCGAGGTTAGGGTTCAGGGTTTGGAGTTTAGGGTTCAGGCTTTAGGGTTCAGGGTTTAGGGCGCAGGGTTTGAGTCTATGGGCCAGCATTCGTATTGGGCATAGGCTATAGGGCTTCAAGGCAGCCAATCTTGGGGTTGCTACAGTATCGAAGGTTCGGAACGCAGAGAAGAACTCTAAGCCTTTCCCGTAGCCCCAGACCTTGCAACATACAATGTCGTGAGTGACTCGTGACACCTTCGCTTCACGGCAAGTATAAGTCATAACTTGGTAGGCATATGTGTTCAGGAATGAGAAACATCATGAAGCATATGTCAACACGTAGAATATAGACTGATATAGACCCTCTGTGAAAAAAATGAAGTCCCAAAGGATTGCCAACAAGAGTCTAGGACCACCACTCGACATCCTAAACCCTAAACCCTAAACCCTAAACCCTAAACCCTAAACCACTCGACATGTGCGCGTAGCGGCTGTTGGCAGCGCGACTTGTTGCGCGTCAGATCTGGCGGCCCGGAACTCTGCAGTGGAGAAGCCCTTTGTCCGGATCAGGAGCCCGGTTTGGGGTTTAGGGTTTAGGGTTTAGGGTACACTACTGTCTGGTGCTTAGTAGGGAATGGGGGAATGGATCCCTATGATAGTCCCTTAAGATCCCTTATAGTAGTCCCTATAGCCCATTCCCCCATTCCCTACTAAGCACCAGACAGACTATGAAGGATGGGCAGTACCTATAGGGTCATACCCTACCCCTGTTACTGTTTTAGGGTACCTACTTTGCTATATAACAGATCCTAGCCCTAAACTTAGGTACCTTAAAAAAGGCTAACCATAACATTAGGTACCTTAAAAAAGGGGGTAGGGTACGACCCTTTAGGTATGGACTGCTCAACATTCCTTCGCTGTAGGCCATGCAGCTGCAGGAGGATCCGGCGGCGAGGTTTAGACTGTCTGGTGCTTAGTAGGGAATGGGGGAATGGATGCCTATGATAGTC